TGATCCTTGTGGGACTCCACAGCTCAAGTCTTTAGAGATAGATTTAACACCATCAATTACTACACTTTGCGTTCTATTTTGAAGATAGGACTGAAAACATTTCCATACCTGTCCATCTATCTCAAATCGTTTGAACATTCTTTGTAATAAAATTTCGTGATCAACAGTATCGAATGCTGCTGACATATCCAGTAGTAACAACACAACACACTTATGATTATCAATAGCCACAAGAATATCGTTTTGCACTTTTAATAGGGCTGTTTCCACGCTATGAAAACGTTTATATGCCGACTGGAAAGGTTCTTCTAGGTTGTTATTAGCCAAATGTTCCAGAAGCTGACCGGCGGCGGCCTTCTCAATTACTTTAGACAGGAGTTTTAAATTTGAAATAGGTCTAAAATTTGTGTATTCTTCGTATTCCAACGAATCTTTCTTTAGTTTTGGTTTCAACACGGCTTCTTTTAGTTTTCCAGGCATACAACCTGACTGAAGTGACTCATTACTGATCTTAGTAATTATAGGTAAGAGAGTCTTCTGACAACTTTGAAAGATTTTTGCGGGAACTGGATCAAGTTCACAAGATTTTTTTCCAACTATATCAATAATATTTTTAATTTCATGTTTCGTGACTTCTTGAAAGTTAATGAATTTAGCGCATTGTACATATTGCTCCTCTTGATTTAGCTGATTACAGTGGGAAGAATCAATGACTAGTTCTTGCCGTATAGTAGTAATCTTATTACTGAAGAAATCTGCAAATTTATTCACGAGTTCTGTGGTTGATGACGCAGTTGGATAGTGCTTTTCTGACTTTCGATGGAGTAATTTATCAACCGTACTAAATAACACTTTCTGATTATGTGCATTGCTAGAAATAACCGATGAATAGTATGTTGTCTTAGCATTCTTTATCATGGCATTCACTGTCTCACATTGTTTAACATATAACTGTCTGTCAATAGATAATCCAGATGCGCGCCAGCGGCGCTCTAATTTCCTGCGATTTCTTTTTTCTTGACCAATCTCTTCATTGTACCATGGTGATAGAGGACGGAGAGTTATAATTCGTCGTTTTTGTGGGGCATGTTGCTGTAATGTTTCTTTCAGCGTATTTTCATATTTATCAATAAGGACTGGGAGATCATAATCATCATCTAAATCTAGCACTTTTAGATCTTCATTGAAACTATTCATGTTTACATTGTTTAATTTTCGATAGTAAATTTCAGCTTGCTCCAATGGTGGTTTCTCTAATTTTAATGTACAATGTATGGCAAGATGATCCGATATTACTGGATCATGTATTCTGATACCAGTCACTAATTTATCTTCATTCCTTGTTATAATCAAATCTAAAGTGTGGCCTTTCGTGTGCGTTGGCCCATTGACGTGCTGTTGTAAATTAAACGATTGCAGTATCCTGTTGAGTTTAGTAGTATCTGGATCTGTAATGTTATCTACATGAAAATTAAAGTCTCCTGCTATTAATATATTGCCAGGTAATATGATCAACTGTTCTACAAGTATGCAGAATTCTTCAAAAAATACTGAACTGCTTAGTTTGTTAGTCTTCGATGGCGGTGGTCTATAAATGACAATCGTTCTGGTGCAAGTGTTACGGTAGTTCAAGGTGACATCAATATATTCAAAAGAAGAGAATTTTCTCTGGGATTGTTTTTTGGCTTTAATATATTTCTTCAGTAAGAGACCAACTCCTCCACCTCGTGCATTTTTCCTTGTAACGTGGTAAAAGTGATACCCTGTTGGGCAGATTTCAGCAATAGAAAATTCGTTATCATCCTCACGTAACCATGTCTCAGTCATTGCCAGAATATCAATATCGTTCTCAGAGACATAGTCATTAATAAAAAGTTCTTTCCTATTTATTGATCTGGTGTTCAACAGACAAAAGTTGATAGGCATAAAATAAGTCTTTTGTTCCTTTGTACAATTGACATAAATTAAATTATTAAAATTTACATATCGAGATTGTTTCGTATTCTTAATATCTCGCTTGTTAACATCAAACTTTAAATTGGACCAATCAGTGTCCGCTATTCATGACAGTCCGCCATATTTTTGAGATCAGTGAGGATGACCACCCATCGTTGGTCACCCACGCCCGCGATAATTGATGAACTTTAGACTTCCTAATGCTTTCGTTTCCCCGGGTGTAAATAGCCGGGGGGAATTAGTACCCTCGCACGGCGCTTCGCGCCGTCGGCTCGGGGACAAAGCTTTTCGCGCGGATTATATTTCGCGCAGAACTAAAATTTGCGCACCCAGCGCTGCCGTGAATTCTAGTACCGCGCGAATTTTAATACATGTAAGGTATGTTGACATATGGTCGACATTTGACTAAAACTATCGTAAGGAATTAGGAGATTTTGTTAACTAAAACTACGTTGTGTAGTCAAACTGTCAGACCTTTAACTTGTCCTTGTTTATATTCCACTACAGGTTGTCCTAAAAAAACGATAACTATTGAAATAACGTATTGTTAGAATTTGAATGCCTCAGCACTCTGCTGAACGCACACGTGCATCAAAGCTTGACGTAAGTAAATTTTATGCATAAAGAAACCGTTTAAGAAGCTCGGTTTTTTAATTCCCAAGAGCAGAAAGTGCGCTTTACAAAGATTTTTTAATTTCTTAATAAGTCAATATTTAATATACTGCACCCTTGTCAATATTAGTTACGTATCTTTGCGTTCAGCCTAGTGCTAGGGCATTCAAATTTGAACAGTACGTTATTTCAGTGGTTTTGCGGGTTTTTTGGGACACCCTGTATATTACATAAATACCAAATATTGAACATTTTTTAGAGGCACCCCAATCGCAAGACCTTTATTTTCAAGATGCCCCCACCTTCATTTAGAAATGTAGGACCCCCTCCAACATTTAATTTGTTACTTAGTTGGTGTAAAATAGGTAATGGGACAAGTACTCAGTAAGACATTGTCGTGTATTTAGATTATACTTTTAACAAAATATGAATAATACATAAGCATGGCCGATCTACATATCTAATGCGTATGTCCGTGCGTATGACCGCTGTCCGTCTATATCTATATATCTAACACCATCTCTCCTCTTAAGGAAAGTATCATAAAATATTGTTGATGAGTTCACTATCGTGTTCGAACAATTGTGCTAACCATAACAGTAAGTAATAAAGCGGTTCTCTATGTAGTTTTCTTAAACAGTTTTCGGATCAAACAGTTAAGACCCCACCTCTCGGGTGGTTGGTGTGATCTAGTTGGGTAGCGTTGTTCAGATCCTGTTGTAGCCCTACCGGCTTCTTGTTGTTGCACTACTGGTGGATTCGTGGCTAGTTCGATATCCGGCTCTGCGACAATTTCTTCTGCTGTTGCAATATTCTGGCCAGTCTCTCCGAGCTCTGGATGAGGTTCAGCCGTATCATCACTCTGGTCATTTACTTTCACACTAGAGGCTCGAAGCTAGTCGATGTGACGTCGCCAAATTCGATTTGGACCAACTTTTATCTCGTACGAAAGGGATCCCGTTTGAGCTCGAACTATGCCTGGTAGCCACTTGTCTTTCCCACTGTAGTTACGTGCCATGACAGTCTGACCAATGGATAACTGACGTGTGGGGGAATGTCCTTTCCTCCCCGCTTGATCGATTTGCCTGTTCATCACTTTCCTTTGTAAATCAGGTTTCACCAAATCGAGGCGAGTCCGTAGCGGTCTGCCCAAAAACAACACGGACGGTGATTCTCCAGTCGTCGAATGCGGGGTATTCCGGTAAGCCAAAAGGAACTTTGCCATATTGGTTTTCAGCTGGGATGCACTTTGTTTCTCGCATTTCATAGCATGTTTGAAACTCTGAACAAAACGTTCCGCTTGACCGTTGGTTGCAGGGTGGAATGGGGCCGTGGTAATATGCTTGATACCATTAGTCTTCAAAAATAGTTGGAACTCTGCGGATGTAAATTGTGGCCCATTGTCGGTCACCACCTGTGCTGGCACTCCATATCGGGCAAAAATAGTTCGGAGTCGGTCAATAGTCTGCGTCGAATGTGGTGGATGGCATTATTTCCACTTAAGGCCACTTCGAGTGTGCATCTACAATGATAAGGAACATTCGTCCTAGGAACGGCCCAGCAAAATCTAAATGGATTCTCTGCCAAGGTGTGGTTGGCCATTCCCAAGGGTGTAGTGGTACTTTGGCGGCTTCATTCTGTTGATGTTGACAACCAGGGCAGCTCTTGGCTAGGTGCTCAATGTCCTTATCAATTTTGGGCCACCAAATGTAACTTCGCCGCAAGAGACTTCATTTTAACAATTCCGAGGTGACCTTCGTGAAGCTCGGTTAACACTTGATTACCAACTTTGCAGGAATGAATGCTCTGTGTCCAAGCATTACGACACCACAGTGAACTGTCAGTTCGTCTTTCCGCTGGTAAAACGGTTTAATCGCTTCATCTTGTGGAGTGGACCATCCTTTCATAACCAACTCATGGACCTTCACCAATAGAGGATCTCTCTGTGTTTCTCGTTTGACCTGTTCTGCTGTGACTGGCAAAGGCTCAAACTGCGTGGCATAGAAGAGGCCCACTGGATCTGGCTCTTCTTCTGTTGTCTCACTATGCAAGGGTAATCGAGACAAACCATCCGCATTCCCGTGTAACTTAGTGTTCTTGTATCTAACTGTATGGTCAAAACCCGCCAAAAACAAAG